CCCAACAACCAAAGCAGTTGTTTTTTTCCATCTTTAGCGATGCTTTTATATAACTGATCACTTCAACTTCAATGTTTATTGTTTAGTTTAATTTCTGTAGTGGATCTGAAGACGCTATAATGGCTGATCAAGATCCCCAAGTTTTGGAATAGTTTCCCTAAAATGGACACGCCCACTTTGACATACAGAGTGGTGGTAGCATCATGATTTTGGGGTTGCTTTCTTTTTAGCAGAGGAAGGTTAACCCGGAAGGAATCCTGCTGCAAACTGGAAAGGGAAAAAAAATTGGGACGAAATTAATTTCCCAGCTCAAAATGTTCAGTCATCAATGATCTATTGCATATAATGAATTTTGTTTAGGTCCAGAACTTAAACCTAAGAAAAAGAATTCATGATGAAACCTGCAGTGTCTTTTCATGAACGTCAAATTATTTGGAAAAAATAAGAATGAAACCCTGAGCTTTGCATTTTCCCTCCATCTCACATTAAGCTCCTACGTCTTGGTCAGTTAACAAAATTAAATAAAAATCAAACCTAGTTTGTGGTTGAAAACTTTCAAAGGGTGTTAAAAATGATTTACTGCATATTAAGTTGCATCCACATCCAAACAGTATTTTCTAAACCAGCCTTCATTTGTTGGACACTGGTTGCTTTTTTGATGAGTAAAAGAAATAAAAATTGTTTTGCAGCTACACATAACCTGAATCTGCTTTAAACTATCCTCACCAAATGTTTTCCTCTCTGGGTGAATGATTTGTAACACCTGCATACATGTTTTACCTCTTCCTCTTGCTCCTGCAAAAAAAAAAAAAAGAGAAGGAGAAAAAAGCCAGATGTAATTGTTTCCAGTTTTTCAAAGAAGGTGCGTGTAAATAAAGGTCAAGAACTACTGAAAACCTGGACGATTTGTTCTTTTTCTCCCACCTTCCTTTCCTGTAAAGGAATTGAACATCTGCTGATTTCACTGCAGGGCTCAGTGAAGGTGATTGGACGGGCCCTGTAAGAGCCAACAACCAATCACATGCTGTCTCCAGGAGGAATGGAGCTGCTTAGATCAAGATGAGGTGTTGCTGAGGAAGGTAACCCTCAGCAACTGAAGCACACAGGCTGATGTCACATTTTACTCTACATAAGGCAAATTGCTGAGCTCTCTGGTATGTGACTAAAATGCATTACTGCAGTGAAAAACTGGAACCCTCTACTGGTCAGATGCAGGTACTGGGTAGATATGAAGGGCAGGCAGATCTCCATGGATCAAATAGGAAGTCACAGAGATTAACCTGAGCCTGACCATTATATATTTCATCATAAATGACTCAGATCATTTAGAATTAGCCAAACAATAGATTTTAATGCAGATTAATTAATCCAGGGATAGAAAAAAAAATCAGACTAGAAGTTAAGGCAGCTGCTTTGCTTTAAACATCCCTCAGATTCATCATTCGAAAATAAAGAGTATGGCACACCTACCTGGACATTAGCCTCGTGAGACCATCCTGATCTCGCGAGCTTTCAAGGTTTCACTCGCTAATCAGTCCG